CCCAAATCCTGGTGGCAGATCCTCCAAAAAAAAAAAGAGGCTTTTTACCCTGTCAATCAAAAATAGAAGGTGAAATCACGAATTTACCTTCGCCTTTTCCCTGGGAATTTATTCATCTCCAGAAGCCAAAGAAATCCAGTTATTTTTTCCCGATGCCAAGCGGTGCCAAACTCCACGATTTTTTTTTCTGCTCCTGCAAAGTTCTTTTATTTCTGTGTGTTTACTTTAAGCCAAATGTTTCCTTACCAGCCCTGTCTCCACAGCTGGTTTAAATATCCACTTGTTCCTGCGTCTCCCTCTCCGTAGAATCCCCTGAACGGCTCCAAATGACTCTCCCTGTTTTCCAAACGCTCCTTCGGCCTCTGGAAATATAAATCCCGTGGCCTTATAAAAATAGTCCTGATCAACCACCCAAATTGGCAGGGTTGTTTCAGGGGCTCAATTAGTTTTGCAGGTGGTGCTGCCAGGGAAGGACACGGTGCCTTTGGGGGGAACATCTCTGGGAGTTTGGTGAGCAAACCTTCCTGGGGGGAGCTGCTGTCATCCAAGGTTACCTCCTCCATCCCTAATCCCTTCCCAGTGGCAGGTCTCTGATATTGGTGCCCAAATTTCAGTGGCAGACCCCTGATTCTGGTGTCCAAATCCTGGTGACAGGTCCCCGATTCTTGTTCCCAATTCCGGTGGCAGGTCCCTGATTTTAGTTCCCAAATGCCCATGGCAGGTCCCTGATTCTGGTGCCCAAATCTTGGTGGCAGGTCCCTGATTTTGGTGTCCAAATCCCAGTGGCAGATCCCCAGTTCTAGTGCCCAAATCCAGGTAGCAGATCCCTGATTTTGGTGCCCAAATCCTGGTGCAGATCCTCAGTTCTAGTGTCTAAATCCAGGTAGCAGGTCCCTGATTCTTGTTCCCAAATCTCGATGGCAGGTCCCTGATTTTGGTGTCCAAATCCCACTGACAGATCCCCAAGTCTTGTGTCCAAATCCAGGTGGCAGGTCCCTGATTCTGGTGCCCTTTCCATCCTCTCCCTTGGGTAGAGACCCCAATGTCACTGGTTTCTTCTGTACTGATGCTGGGTCCATCTTTGGGCAGGTTCCTGGGAGATGAGTCTCCTCCACACCTGAAATTCCGGGGACAGTTTTGGGCCTCTCACAAGAGAGACATGGAGGGACTGGAGCGTGTGCAGGGAAGGGAATGGAGTTGGGAAGGGGCTGGAGCAGCAGGAGCAGCTGAGGGAGCTGGGGGGGCTCAGCCTGGAGAAAAGGAGGCTCAGGGGGGACCTTCTGGCTCTGCAACCCCCTGACAGGAGGGGGGAGCCGGGGGGGAGGTCGGGCTCTGCTCCCAGGGAACAAGGGACAGGAGGAGAGGGAACGGCCTCCAGCTGTGCCAGGGGAGGCTCAGGTTGGAAATAGGGAAAATTCCTTCCTGGAAAGAGTTGTTCATCCCTGGCCCAGCTGCCCAGAGCAGGGGTGGATCCCCATCCCTGGAGGGATTTCAAATCTCTGTGGATGTGGCACTTGGGGACATGGTCAGGGGTGGCCTTGGCAGTGCTGGGGAATGATTGGACCTGATGATCTTAAAGGTCTTTTCCAACCTGATTCTTCTGGGAGGCTGGTTTAGGAACCAGGGGGAGAGAAGCCTTGGGGGGAAAAAAAGCCCATTTTGCTCCAAATGTTCCCTTGGAGCTTCAGCAGGAGCAGTTCTTGGATCCCCCCAGCTCCCCCTACTCCGACTGCTGGGGCGAGGAGGATGCTCTGGGCGAGGACCAAACCCACAACAGGGAAATGATGGGAAGCACAAACCCATCTCCCACCCTTCCCAAATCCCCATCTCCTGTTGTGTTCCTTGAACCATCCCCTCTGCCCAGGTTTTATTCCTGTTTTCTATTTGTCCCCACCGATGGGGCACTGTCTGGTGGTTCCCTCCTTCACCCCGAGCACCTCAAAGGCCTCCAGATGCTGCTGCCGCCTCAGCCCCTGCCCCTAATGAACATTAAAGAGTCTATAATTAGCAAGGCCACATGTTTCCAGCCTTGGAAGCAGGACAAGGTCATCGATCCAGCGCCGGAGCGCGGGGACCACCCGCATCCCGCAGGTGTTCGAATCCCTGGAACCGGCAGCCCCAAACCTTTTTTTTTTGTCTCCTAGGGAAGCGACACAAAAGGGAGCAGTCCCAGGTCTGAGCCTGCCCCTCCTGCAAAGCCAGGCCGGGGCAGCGCAGCGTGGTTTGTGTTTACAGTGGAGCTTAAAGAAATAAGCATCGGTTACATAGGGGGGAAAAATGAGACCGCGGTCAGATTGGACCCCAGGGCAAGGCCGGCCGGGAACAATGGATCTGCTAAACAAAACCCCGGAGCTCGGGAGGAAGTTATCATGGAAAGCAGGGATATATTAGTTCAGTTCTGAGTGTTTTTAGAAAAAAAAAAAAAAAAGGAAAGTATTCGAAGCACTTGAACCCGGGTGTATCTATTTCGCCGCCCAGACGTTCTCCCCTCGCGCGGCCGAGTGACCCCTGCGGTTGGAAGCGCGGCTGGAATCGCGGCAGGAATCGCGGATGCCGAGCTCTCTCCCCGTTCCCTCCGTGTCAGCTGGGAGGTGAAGAGGCGGCTGCCTCTGCCTCCCGTCACGGCTGCGGCTTGGAAAGCTCCGGGAACGCGGCGACGGGCGGCGGGAAAAGGGCAGCCAGAGTTTAGGAGGCCGCGGCCCCGGGAAGGTTTCCTGCTGGGCGAAGGGACCCACGGGATCGGCGGAGCGCCTCGTTGCTCGGGGTTTTTTGCTTTTGCTTCGGTCACAAGAGTCACAGAATGTGCTGCTCAGCACGTGGGGTTTGGGAAGGGTGGGTGTTGGCACTGCTTGGCCTGTTCAGCCTGGAGGAGACTGAGGGGACACGCACTGGGGTCCTCAATGTCCAGCCTCTGGGGGCAGAACCTTTCCCTGAGATCCAACCTGAGCCTGCCCTGGCACAGCTCCAGCCCTTCCCTGGGTGCTGTCCCTGGTCCCCCCAGAGCAGAGCTCAGTCCCTGCCCCTCCTCTGCCCCTCCTGAGGATGTTGAAGACGTCAATGAGGTCTCCTCTCAGTGTCCTCTTCTCCAGCTGAACACACCAAGTGCCCTCAGCTGGTTCTTTGAGCAGCAAGCCCTGTAATCATCCCGGCGGTTATCCCTGCTCGTGGTGGGCACTGGGAGCCACTTGCTCCTGCTGCAGAGCCCAGACACAACTCACTGCATTGAACAGCACAGGAGCTGCTCTATCTCCCTCCTGTTCCTGCTTCTCCATGTGTGGGAACCAAACCCACAGCAAATCATCTCTGTGGGGACCAGTGACAGGACCCAGGGAATGGCTGGAGCTGTGCCAGGGCAGGCTCAGGTTGGATCTCAGGGAAAGGTTCTTCCCCCAGAGGCTGGTTGGGCACTGCCCAGGCTCCCCAGGGCAGTGGGCACAGCCCCAAGGCTGCCAGAGCTCCAGGAGGGTTTGGCTGATCCTCTGGGGCACAGGGGGGGACTCTTGGGGCTGGGCCTGTGCAGGGCTGAGGGTTGGGCTGGATGGTCCTTGGGGGTCCCTTCCAACTCAGCATATCCCGGGATTCTGAAGTCAATGATGGGAAGCACAAAACCAGAGAGACAAGATCAGTGCCTGCCCCTCCTCTTCCCCTCGTGAGGACATTGAAGACCCCAGTGTGTGTCCCCTCAGTCTCCTCTATGCTGAACAGACCAAGTGGTGTCCCCATCACCCACCTTCCCAAACCCCCATCTCCCATCTCGTCCCTCCACCCACCCGAGGTTTCCCTGCCCCTCCACCTCCCAGCCGCTCCGGCGCGCGCTTCCCGGCGCTTCCATCGCTCCCCCTGCCCAAGGAGGAGCGGGAGGAAGCCCTGATAACGCTCATTAAATTTATAGCCACGTCGTGCTGCAATGTTTAATCAAGGTTACGTGACTGCGCTGCCGCGCCGGGGACAAGTTCAATGCAAGGTGAATCTTGTCTGAGATAATCTGAAAGTTCATCCGGAGGTGAAGGCAGCGGCAGCTTCTCAGAGCCCGCCCGGGGTGAGCAAGAGGTCACCTCCTCTTGCCTTTTTTTTTTTTGTGTGTGTGTTTTCCTTTTTATTTTTTTTTTTTAGCCCCTTTTTTTTAACGTGTAAACAAAAGAAAACCGCGACCTCGGCGTCAGCTGAGCAACAGGAAGGAGCGGCGTGGTGGTGGTTTGGTGCCCGTGGGGCTCAGGGAAGGCGATGCCGGCGCTTCAGGGATGTCAGGAGCGTTTTAAAGTCAGATATCCCGGCTTTTTTTGGGATGTGGAAAGGAGGTATCCCGTTTGCTGAGCCGGCTCACCCATCCCTGCTCCTCGTGCGGGTGGGAGACCCTCCAACCCCTGGCTGGGGTGTTTGGGTGTCACGTCCCACCTGTTTATAAACTCTTCTGGGCAGACCCTGAGCCCTGCAGGTCCCTTGAACTACCAGAGGATGAGGAGCATCAACCTTCTCCCATCCCCAAAGCTTTCTGGCTGCTCTGTCTGTTTTCCCCTGGAAAAGGGGCATCAAAGTGATTTTTTTTCCCCCTTTGGTACAATCAGATCGATGCTGGATCTGCTGAACTGTTGCTTTTCTCCCCTCTCAGCCTCCTTTCCCCTGTTTAGGGGGTTTTGTGGGTTTTTTGTGCTCGTGTTTAACTCTTCCCTTAGCAAAGGATCCTGATATTTGGATTTCCCATGTAGATTTCTTTGGAAAATCTTTCTGCTTTCTGATTTTGAAGTGTGGGTCAGGCAGGGTGAGTCAGATAAATCCAGGAGGCCGTACACACCTGGAATACAGCAGCAGGAAGGAATTCCCATATCCACGGGGTACCTGAATACAGAGCCACCACCTCCCAACCACGGAGCTGGGGGGTCTTTTACCTTCCCCAAACCCACCTTTTCCTGCCTGAAACACCTTCAAAAATGATTCTAACAATGATTATCTCCAAGCTGAGAGTTTTCCAAGCATCACATCCCAAATTCAGCCCCCCGTAACACTGGATGTTGACCTTGGAGAATTCCACCAGCTCCATCCTTGCTGGGAGCAGGGTTGGACGCAGCTCTTGGATGTGTCTGAGCCCGGAGCAGCTACTGGGGGGATGCTTCTAAAGGAGACATCATTTCTTTGGGAATGAATCCCCCTTTTGTGACGGCTAAATGGAAAAGCAAAGTGTTATTCAATAGCGGTCCCTCTGGAACGCTCTTCCGAGGCTCTTTCATTTCTTCTTGGCTCCTGCCCAGTATTGTCCTCGTGTCCTGCCCGGATCGTAGGGTCTGGAGGGTGGAAATACTCCCTGCAAACTTGTGAACCTGCCCGGAGAATCTGATGAGTCCAAAAGGAATTATTTTAAGGAGTGTAAATTGGCTCCCGAAACCCAGCAGGGGCAGAGTTTCCTTTTGTTCTCGTGGCCATTCATAAAATCCCCCCCCCCCGGCCGGGTGGTAATCGCTGGAAACGCCGGATTTTATCCCGAAACACTGAAATCCCACTGGGTTTGCACCAAATCATTTTCATGCCTTGTTTTTGTTTGGTTGGTTGGTTTGTTTTCCCCCCCCCAAAGTGCTTTGCCACCAGCACAGAAACTTGGGATTTCCCTAGAATTTGGTTTAACTTTCCCCCTCCGGGCAAATATCCAGGGAATGAGTAAAAGCCACGGTCCTGCACCAGCAAAGTGAGCGGGATGTGAAAGGAGCTGATGGGGACTTTCCAGCCACCTCAAGGACTGTCACCCCAACAGGATGTGCTGCTCCTCAGCTCGTGTTTTGCAGCACTTCTCTCGAAGCCCAACAACCTCTCGAGGCTCCTTCGTGTGGTTTTCGTGTGGCGGGGTGGGAGGAGAAGGTGGATTCCTCAATTTAACCCAAAAAGGAAGGGTTGTTTTTTTTTTTTTGTGAGTTACAACCAGAAAGGTTTTGAAGGTAGAATTGTGTTGGGGTTTTTTAACGAGACCCTGGGAATAAACACCTTCTGAAAGAGCGGGAAGGACGCCCCGTGTAATTCCGGCGGTGCTTCAAAGCAGGTGGAAAGCCAGAGGTTTTTCCTCCTCATAAACCATGAACACTTGCAGATGGAAAACCAGGAGAGATCTCTCTGTGTACACAACGCAGGCAGAGAGCTTTCTGGAGCCCTTCCCGCTGGAAATCTGATGTCAGGAATACAAAAACCTATAAACAGGCAATAATATGAATCTGAAAATAATCCAGACTGGACAGATTAGGGCTTTGTTGGTCTCAAACCTCTCTCTCTGTTACATACTGTCCTGTCTGCCATAAATCCTTCCAGATTCCTCTCGTGTTTTTTTTCCAAGAACTGTTTGACTTTTGCAGATATAAAAAAAAAAAAAAAAAAAGATTAAATTGCTGCCTTCGCTTGTAAAATCAGTCAAGTTAAATGAGGAACTTGGATTGGGTTCTCCTCTGAACACTCCTACGTGAGTGCTCAGGAGAAAGGACATCCCTGGGTGGAACATATTCCCAGGAGCCACTGGGAGGGTTGGAGCTCCAAGCAGAACTCCCTGATCTGTAGTAATTCCGGGAAATCCAGGGCTGGTGAGCACCTGAAATCCAATTAAACCTTCCCTGGGCTCCGTGTGTGGATCCCTTGAGCTGAACATTCTCCAAGCTGGGCATCATCAGTTTACTGCTCCCACCCCCTCGTGCAAAGGGTGCTCAAACACAGAGCAAATCTTCATTTCCATGGAAATCAGTGACAAATCTGCTCCTGTTTTCACTTAGGCCACAGTTTTGCCTTCCGTGTCTTTCACAATTAAAGGAACCAACATGATGTTCCAATTCCCGGTGCCTTTTCTTCTGGGCACCACTATTGTCCAAACCCACATCTCTCCTCATCGCTTCCAATATTTCTTTCTCTTTCAATATTCCTTTCCCACGAGGAATAATTGAAACCTCCCCAAAATAAATGAGTTTGGATGTCCTTGTCTGTGGCTGCTGATGTTGGAAGCTCCCTGGGCTTTTGTGCTCCGGAACAATTCCCAGCTGGCTTCTAGTAGGGGCTGCTCAGCCAGCGGTGGGATGGGTTGTGGGCGAGCTTAGGCATGGGCAAACCGGGAATTCCCCCTGGTTTTCCATAGTTTTTGATCTTTTATGGAAGTACCCAGCAGGGTCGGGTCATACCTGGCTGGTTTCTGGTCCCCCTGGGAGCATCCTGTCCCTTCCTACAGGCGGGACTCAAGTGCTGATTTACTCTGAGCCTCTTGTTGTCACCTTTAGGGAAGGAGTTGTGGTGCTAAGTCAGTGAAATGAGCTTTTTAAAGGCAAGATCTCCATGGGTTTGTGAGCTCATGGTGTGATCTCTTGCCAGCACTGCCCATTTGTGGAAGGTGTCGGGTCAGAGGCCGTTCATTCCACGTGCTGCCACGAAGACTGTGGAAAAAGAGCACCAGGCTCCGAGGTTGTGAGGATTAGAAGGGATAATAAAGCTTTTGAGAGCTGTTTTTCAGCTTGGTTCTGAAAATACTCCCTCCTTCTCCCCCTGAAAGCGGGAGCAGTCACTCATGGATGACCCTGAGCAGGTTTCAGGGCAGGAGTGCTCCTTCCAGCTGGGAAAACACCAAGCCTGACTTAGTTGACACTTTTCCACGCCCTGGTGTCCAGGGGACATAAAACTCCTCCTGAAAGCTTGGCTGTAACCATGTGGCATCGCTGGCCCTTCCATGTGGATCCGAGTCTCCCAAAAATCCTCTGTAAGGAAAACCTCATGCACCTCCTGCTCCCAGGCTGGGTGTGCTTGGAGGAACAAGGGCTGAAAGGGTGATAAACAGCTGCAGGGAAACAAGAATTCCCTAATTTAGGCTTTTATTTCCCTTTTAGGTAAGGTTTGGTTCTGTGTGGAATGTTTCCCACCAGCCCTCTCACCATCTCATCTGCCGGGATGGTCTTGGCAGGGGAAAGTCCTCAATCCATTTGGTGCTCACTGTTGTCACTGGGAATAAACATTGTGGTAATATTTATAATAATATTTTATATATATTATAATAATATAAAAGGGAAGGGATGTTTATTTCTGGGATGGAACAAGCAGGTTAGGAAAGGACCTTGAGAGATCATTTCTGTGGGAAAGGAAGCCTGGATGAGATGATCCAGCACCCTCTCTCGTTGCACCTTGAAGTCCTCCAGCAGTGGGGACCCCACCACATCCCCAGGGAAGTTGTTCCAGTGAAAGATTGTTCTCACCTTAAGGAATTTCTTTCTTATGTTGGAACAAAACCTCCCCTGTTGTAACTCGGAGGCTTTATGTGTCTTCTCCATGGGGCTCCTTGTGTGGAGAGATCCTTCCTCCTCCTCCTGCTTGTAGCCACCCTTTAAGGACTGGAACATTGTGATGAGGGAATGTCCCTTATGGAACCAAATCCCTTCCAAGGCAGTCACGGCCCCATCCCTGGAAGTGTCCAGGGCCAGGTTGGATGGGACTTGGAGAGCCCTGGTCTAGTGGAAGGTATCCTTGCCCATGGCAGGGGGTGGAACAGGATGGGCTTTAAGGTCCTGTCTAACCCAAACCATTCTGGGATTCTGTGATCCCATAAATATTTGACCTTCATGTTTTAGGCTTGAGGAGGAGAGGAGAGGTCCTTTGGGCTGAGAGGATCCCAGATCCAGAGTTATCCCTGCAGCATCATTCTGACTTCTCTGAGATAGGACAAGAGGGTTTTTGGGGGGGTTTATTTATCTTGGAAGACGTGGGTCTCCCTCTCCTGCCATCTTCTTTACCTTGGGCATCACTTCCCACTTGAGAGGTCTAATTTGTGGACTCCCCCATCCCTGGAAGTGTCCAAAGGGCTTGGAGAGACCTGGGCTAGTGGAAGGTGTCCCTGCCCGTGGCAGGGGGTGGAACTGGATGTTCCATAAGGTCTCTTCCCACCCGACCATTCCATAATTCCGTGACTCTGTGACACGGAGGGCAAGTGTGCCAGTGCTGGTGCTGGCTCAGATCTTGTTCTCAGGGCTCTGGCAGAGCTTGCAAACTGTGTTTTGAGTCAGTTGGGGGGTTCACATTCCATTATTCCTGGTTTGGCTGAAGGAATTTCGCCCAGCTCAGGGCTGTCCCGCCTCGCCTCGCGTCTGGAGGGAGACACAAAGTCATGGCCTTGTCCCCGTTTGCCACCAGCACTGAGGTTTTCAACCATCCTTTCCCCGTGCTTGGGGTGAGGGGCTTAAAAACAAGCCTCTGCTCGGAGGAAAAGAATGTTTTTGAACGTGATGTTGCGAAGGGAGTGAAAAGGAAGTGGGTTTTGAGGTAGAATTGACGGTTGGACTCGAGGACGTTAAAGGTCTTTTCCAATTTAAATGATTCTGTGGCAATGATGTTAAAGGTCTTTTCCAATTTAGATGATTCCGTGAGTCTGTGAGTCCATGAAATGGGGAGAAAGTGCTTCTCAGCCCCTGCTTAGGAGAGCCTGGGGCAGGGCTGGCAACTGGTTCCCAGTTGAATTCTTTCTTTCTTTCTTTCCAGCATTTTCCTCTCTTGAATTCGACCATTTCAATTTTCACCATTCGGGGAAAAGTTCATATATCTGCATAAAACCAATTTTAATTTCTTTTTAAATTTATTATTTTTAATTAATTTACCTTTCTTTTGGCATCACATTGAAACCACTCTCCGTTCCTTCATTTTTATAAACACACACCTGAACCTCTCTCTTGCTCTCCACAAGCCCTGCAGCTTCCTGAGCTTATCCCCCTTCAGCATCACCGTGCTAAAAGCTCCTCTTTATTTTTTTCCCCTCCTCTTCTTTTCCCTTTCCCCCCAGTGTATGTGCTGTCGAGTTTGATTTATGGCCTTGAAAGGGAGAGACTCTCGTTTAAAGAATTAATGGTATTTGCATATTTTATTTGGAAACTCCCCCGGCAGACCCTCAGCAGCCCGGGCGGGTTTTTCCTTTCCCTTTTTATTTTTTTTTTTTCTGTGTGTGTGCATCTGGGCCGTTCAGATTTAGCAGCAGAGGTGAAAAGTTGAAACAGTAAAACCAATAAAACCACATTTATGTGACAGATAAATCGTTCCGAGGCTGCTCTCCCTGAGCCTTCGGGCTTCCTCCTCCCCGGCCCTCTCCCCTCCGGAGCACGACCCGGAGCGCCGGCGCTGCCCCCGGCAAAGGTGCCGGCCCTGGATATCCTCGGACCTGCTGAGCCCAAAAGATGGATGTGGGCAAACAGTTGGAAAATACACAGGCCATCCGTCACTGTCGGGAGCCAGCCGGGGGGAGTCGGGCTCCGAGGGAGCTCCGGGAAGGTCTGGCTTGAGGTGGGGGCGTTTGGAATCACGGAGTGGTTTAGGTTGGAAAAGAGCTTGAGGATCGTCAAGTCCAACTGTTCGCCAAGGCCACCACTGACCCATGTACCCAAGTGCAACATCCACAGGGATTTTAAATCCCTCCAGGGATGGGGACTCCACCCCTGCCCTGGGCAGCCTGTTCCTGTGGAGAAATTTTCCTTAATTTCTCCTGCCCTGGCACAGCTTGAGGCTGTTCCCTCTCCTCCTGTCCCTTGTTCCCTGGGAGCAGAGCCCGACCCCCCCCCGGCTCCCCCCCTCCTGTCAGGGGGTTGCAGAGCCAGAAGGTCCCCCCTGAGCCTCCTTTTCTCCAGGCTGAGCCCCCCCAGCTCCCTCAGCCGCTCCTGCTGCTCCAGCCCCTTCCCAGCTCCGTTCCCTTCCCTGCACACCCTCCAGCCCCTCCGTGTCCTTCTTGTGAGGGGCCCAGAACTACCCCCAGGGCTGGAGGTGCCTCAGCAGGGCCAGCACCAGGACGGGCACTGCCCTGGTCCTGCTGCCACACAGGGCTGGTACAATCCAGGTGCCCTTTGCCTTCTTGCCCACCTGGGCTCATGTTCAGCCACAGTTGACCAGCACCTCCACGGCATTGGAGTGTCTCTGTCAGTTTAAAGCCATTCCCTGTGTCCTGTCCCTCCCTGCCTTGTCCCCAGTCCCTCTCCAGCTCTCCTGGAGCCCCTTCAGGCCCTGCAAGGGGCTCTCAGCTCTCCCTGGAACCTTCTCTTCTCCAGGGGAACCCCCCCAGCTCTCCCAGCCTGGCTCCAGAGCAGAGGGGCTCCAGCCCTGCCTGGGAGCATCTCCGGGGCCTCCTCTGAGCTCCTGAGCCTGCGCCGCTTCCCTGTTTATAACAACTCCCAACATTTGAATTCCACCTTCTCCCAACCGCTTTCTACCCCTCACCTTTTCATTTCCCTACTCCTTTCACCCCATTCCCCCGGCCCTTTATCCCCGTTCCCCACGAAGGGCTACCTGGCCCCTCGGGCGCTCCGGCCGCGCTTTTCCACGGCAATAAACTCGTTCTGCTTTGTTCAGGATTTGCCCGAGGCACGTTCGGCCTCCCCGGGGCCACCGGCGAGAGGCCTTTGGTGCCTTGTGGGGGGTTCCCATTTAGCCTCTACAACCGTCACAACTTCTCCCAGCGGCCGACAAACCCCAGGCGGGAGGGCCTTGGCCCCGCCGCTCCCCGCCTGAAGGGAGCCTGTGAAATCATCCTGGAGGGTTGTCCCTCGGAGGTGCCAACCGTTGGAAAAAACCTCCTGCCAACCATGTTCAGCCCGGCTTTGGAGTTTGACACAATGGCCCCGGCGCACAAAGCCGAGCGGGACCGCGGGCTGGAAAAGGCCTCTCAGGTCCCGGCTAATCCGTCCCCCCCGCCGGCCCGCGGGATTGTTCCCGACGGCTTGTTTTTCTTTTGCCCTGACCTACATAGTCAAAAGAGAATCTTGTTGCACATTTTTGTTTTGTATCTCGAGGTCTCGGAGGAGCTAAATCCCCTTCTTGGCGGGGCAGGGCGCGTTGTTAAACAGCGCCGGGGCCTCCAGGAAAACCATGGAGACGCGGGGACAATGGGCCCTCTTATGGTTCCGGCTTCTCCCGGCTTCTCCCGGCTTCGGTGGTGGGCGCCGGGACGCGCGGAGGCGGGAGATGAAGACGTCCACGCGCTTGGCAGCCCGTCCCCAAATAGAGTGGTCACAGCTGCTCTCCAAGACGGAATGTTTGGGGAGGGGGGGAGATGCAGAAGGTCTTAATTAACCTGGTTTAGATGGTGGAGGTGAAGGCTGCATCCCATGGATCCTCAGCAGTGTCCATGTGGGTGGGAAAGCCACTGAGGGATGAGGGAAAGACACGGGAGTCCGTCCCCAAATAGAGTGGTCACAGCTGCTCTCCAAGGTGGAATGCTTGGGGAGAGGGGGAGATGCAGAAGCTCTTAATTACCCTGTTTTAGATGGTGGAGGTGAAGGCTGCATCCCATGGATCCTCAGCAGTGCCCTTGTGGATGGGTGGGAAAGCCGGTGCTCTGAGGGGTGAGGGAAAGACATGGGAGCTCCTGGTTGGGTTTTAAGGAAAATAAGGAAATGGAATGGTGTGGGAATTTAGGAAAGCTGGTCTGTAGTTTGCTCGTCCCTCACCTGACTCCTCTGGGAGTGCTGGAGCACTTGTGGAGGTGACCAGGTGGGAATTTTGGAGATCTAGAGCTGGGACTGTCACAGTTGGCATGTGGGACTCCTATGGATGGTCCTGTGCAGGGCTAGATGGTGGAGGTGAAGGCTGCATCCCATGGATCCTCGACTGTGTCCGTGAGGGTGGGAAAGCCACGGAGGGATGAGGGAAAGACACGGGAGTCTGTCCCTAAATAGAGAGGTCACAGCTGCTCTCCAAGGTGGAATGTTTGGGACAGGGGAGGGGAATGAAGCTCTTCATTAACCTGGTTTAGATGGTGGAGGTGAAGGCTGCATCCCATGGATCCTCAGCAGTGCCCTTGTGGATGGGTGCTCTGAGGGGTGAGGGAAAGACATGGGAGCTCCTGTATGGGTTTTAAGGAAAATAAAGAAATGGAATGGTGTGGGAATTTAGGAAAGCTGGTCTGTAGTTTGCACTCGTGGAGGTGAGCAGGTGGGAATTTTGGACGTCTGGAGCAGGGACTGTCACAGTTGGCACATGGGACTCCTGTGCAGGGCCGGTTGGACTCCATGATCCTTGTGAGTCCCTTCCAACTCAGCATCTCCTGGGATTCTGTAATTAACCTTCTTTTCCTTCCCCCACTGTTGGACTCTGTGGTTTCTCTCACAAAGGACTGGAAAGCACCTGGGACTCCCAATCTCTGGGAGATATATCCACCCAAAATAAACCCCAGAGCTCCTGAGCAGGTCCCACACCTCCCCAGGGAGTTCTGCTCCTTGGAGACACTCCCAAAGCACTTGGAAGGTGCTGAGATGGAACAAATGTGGTGGGAGATCCCGGGGGACTGGGTCAAACAACACCAGGGGTTATTTGGGGACTGAAGAAATTTGTGGTGACTTTGACCCCAAAAGCGTCCTCCTGCCAGGGCTGGGAGTGTCAGAGCTCTGGGGTCCTTCCCCACCCACCTTCTCGGGATGTCTCAGACCTCAAATCCACTAATTCACCCCAAAAATAGAGATAACAGAGTGAGAGCGCCCTATAAATTAACATGGTCATGCATAAATCAGCATTAAATATTCATAAATGAATAACGCTTGATAATTAAACATTAGCAGAACCATAATAAACAAATTAATAAAG